TTATATTTAAACAAAAACACACGACGAAATTGCAACCACACACGACAGGAAACAACATCAAGATGACTTCCTGTTGCCGCTCTTACCTCGTCTGGCTTTCCTCGGCCCCGGGGTTTTAACGGCCCCTCCGAGGGCCCCTGCCTCTAGGATGGAAGCCAGCAGCAACAGTTTTAACTCCAGGATCATCTGAGTTTTATTCTTTTCTTGCGTTATTACATTGTTTTGTATTTGAAATCAAATTTTCCTTGTATGGCTCCATATTAACAAATCTCAATGTCCCCACATAGAACTCAACAATCTGTACAAGGAGCCACATCCTCTGTTCCTAACCCTCGGGGGGGGTTTGCTGTGATTGGTCGAACGTGTTACCAACTGCATCCAGAGGCATTTTAGTCTCTGACCAGTGGAAATTAAAAATGAGCAGCGTTTTCAGACACATTCCAAAAAATACTCGTTGGTCTGACGACGTCTGGTTAAAAACTCACTTCTCACTTTCTGGTAAAACGACACAAAGTCGTGACTTTTCTGTGACTCGCTTGCTAACTACCGAACATCGTCTCTGCTTCGGGGGTGTACGTCTCTGACTTTATTTTTGATGTTTCTCGTGCAGAAGCAGCGCGACCGCGAGGAGAAGAGCTGCAGCTGGAGCGCAGGAAACCAAAGCAAAAGCAGGGCACGTTTCAGTGAGAGCTTTAAAACATGCAAACATGAAATCAACATGTCCTGCTCTCAAACTGTTCAGTCCAGCTGCAGCTGAGGCCTTGACCACCGCGCTGCTCCTCCACGGAGATAAAGAGCTTGTTCCTCCAGCACACTGGCTCTTATCCAGCTTTTATTAGCCTACATTGAAAAGCTGATTAAGGATGAGCTGTGGCCGAGCGCCGCGGGAGCAGAGGAACAGCAGGAGACTCTGAGGACGAGCTGAAGGTCGCCGCGGTTCATCCCTTGTCACCTGACTTACAGGAAGGGAGGGGACGGACTCAGCGGCACAGAGCTGAGTCACTGCGTCCAAGAGCTGCGTTAATCGATAAGTCGAAAGTTAAATAATGAAATGTCTCCTTTGTTATTCAAGCAGAAATATTAAAACAAACTGTAATGACTAGTTTCACTGAGCATGATTCATTCGCACAAAATGAGATAAAACCCAATAAAGAAAGTTAAAGATGAAACAGACTGATGTGTCATTATTGTTATTGATTATTGCTCAAACTTTCTACAGAAATCGTGATTAACATCTTGAATTATTGTTCCAGATGTTTGTGTTGGTTCTGGTTGTTACCTTCTCCCAGAGGGTCCAGCGTGTGGATCATCAGCTGGAAGATGGTGCTCCGCAGAGAGGTGTTGTGCAGCGAGGCTGAGCTGCCGCCTCGCTGCAGGACGGGACGAACCTGCGACCACAGACAGAAACTCAGTGATTTCAGTTTACATGATAAAAGTCACCGCATCATCTTTTAAGTGTTGATGGTGGATTTTTGCAATTATGCATATTCAGCCATGTTTGTAGTTCTCTGCACCAAGTGTGACATCTTGTCTGAAATCCGCCGTCAGTGTATTTCTCTATTCGTCCCATTCAAATAAAATAAAGATGACATATCTACTTCAGCTAACACAGACAGTGAAATGATGCCACACACCCTGAGTCTTGCTTTGTCGTCTTGCGGCTCTGACGGCTGTTTGTGGAGTTGAGGGCTGCTTGGAGGAGGTTCAGGTGCTGGTTTGGGTTTTTCCTCAGCCGGTGGTGCAGCTGACGGAGCAGCAACAGCAGCAGGAGGAGGAGGAGGAGGTGGAGGAGGAGGTTGTGTAGCATCACTCTCCTGTAAAGTCAGACATAACATGCTGAGTATCTCTTTGTCGTCATTTATGCATCTGTGTGGTTATTGTGTCTTTTCGGGGTAATTTTGTGCCTGTGTATTATTACTGTGATTATTATTGGAAGATTTCGGTGAATCAGGGTCCAGCTGCTCAATGTTTGGCTGTAAGAAGATCCAAACACTTGATTGTGGAAAAAACGACAAGAGATCAATTAAAAAGCATCTTTTAAATTCCAGTAATTGGGAGTTGTTGGTGCGGCTGCATGTCTCGTTGTTCTCAGTGTGGGGACTGAAGAGGCTCGGGGCGGCTGCAGACGTGCCTCAGGATAATTGGAGAATGTGCCTCCGACACTTGAAACACTGAAACACAGCGGTGCATGTTAATTACAGGCTCAGACGTTTACCGCTGCGTGAAGCTGCACGTCCGCAGAACGTTAACCTTTTTATAAACATCATTTTTAATGGATTTATTTATTGTTTTAATGAACTGAGGTCTGCACAGTGACATGTCAGGCCTGAGACACAGAAACACGGTGACGTCTCCGACACTCTGTGACACCTGGACTCTTTCTGTTGAGCTTCAAAGGGTTTCGCACAAATACAGTCCGTCACCTGCTCAGACCCACAAATCACTGTTTCCTCTCTCGCTGTGTCCGAACAACAGTCTCAGCCCTGACGAGATGAAAGACCAGAAAACACAGAGCAGCGTGTGGATGGAAGATGCTCCGGTAACATCTGTTCTGCACACACATCTGTTCTCTCTGCAGCCATTGTTTCAGATTACTGTGGGCTCTTTGTTCTCAGGGGTTTTTGCAAAAATCTAAAATCGTGTAAAAATCAACTCCTGATTGTGACGAGTGTGTTATTCTCCGCGAGGCCTATTTTCCCGAGTGGTGAAGTCCTTGTGTGTCGGTGTGTTCATGAGCTTTGAAGTTGGTATATGGAAAAAAACATGGACGCTGTTAATTAAATGTGTTGTATCCATGTGTTTAGAGCAATTAAACAAATAACGAAGCGTATAGAGAAAGGATCGGGTGTGACAGACATAAATCTCATTGGCTAAAAAGTTTTGTGTTATGAAACATTTTGCAAATGACAAAAGTTCAAACATTTGACAAGTTCACATGAGAAGCTGCTGATTGTAAAATCAATCTGTGCGACTCCAGTCACGAGGTTGAGATCTTCACAATTAGAGAATTATTTTCTGAACTGAGCAGCGTAGTTTTATAAGTCGTAAAATTTAATTCAGCTGAATATATTCATTTATTTTGTATTCATACATTTTGGGGTTTTGTGTAAAATGTTAAAAATTCATTTTCTCCTGAGATAGATTTTCCCTCAGATGCGTCTGAATGTGACTCTGACCTTCTCCGGCTCCTCGGCCGTCCACACCTTCACGATGCTCATGTGCTTGTTGAGCTGGGACTTGACCGCCTGCTCGATCTGACTGTTGACCTTCATGAAGCTGACGTAGCTGATGTAGCCGAGCACCAGCAGGACACTCTCCCACCACATGATGACGCTGTCCAGGAAGAAGACGATGAGCATGATGAGGTCCAGGATGTAGAAGGTCACGTCTCGGAACAGGGGCCACCAGGTCAGGTGCAGCATCTCTCGGGAGAAGATGGCGCACATGCCGATCACGAAGAGGATGTTGAAGACGGCCGAGCCCACGATGGTGCCGATGCCCACGTTGCTGTGGGAGATGAAGACGCCGATCAGGGAGGTGAAGAGCTCGGGGGCAGAGCCTCCAGCAGCCATGAAGGTGGCCCCGGCTACGTCGTCAGAAATCTGCAGGTTGATGGTGATGACCTCGAGCGCAGGAACGAAGAACTCATCACAGACGATGGCCAGGGCGACAAACATGTAGATCATGCCCATAATGTGCAGGACCACCCAGCCTTGTCGTCGCTGCTCCACTGAGAAGATGTCCTCTGGGTAATCACCCTTCCTGTGAGGGGGCTGGGGCGGAGGAGCTGTGGTGTTGGATGGCGGCGGCGGGGTAGGAGGAGGAGGTTTGGGGGCGTGGGGATCTACGTAGATACACTGTTCGATGTCTGTCCTGTTGACGATCATCACCGGAGGAGGTCTGCTGCCCTCAGGTAGGACCTCCTCCTCCTGCGTCTCATTGGAATCCATCACCTCCCGAACGTTGACCTCCACAACATCCCCATAACCTCCATCTGCTCCCAGAGCGGCGTCCGTCTGCGAGGAGCCTCTCAACTCCGGCAGCCTGGCCTTCAGAGTCAGAGTGTAGACGAAACACAGCAGCACACCTGAGACGAAGAAGAGGACACGGCCGCGCCTGAGTCTCCTCCTCGGAGGCGAGTGCACCTTCATTGCCCTCGTGGTCTCGACTCCAGACAGGAAGCTACGTCAGATGCATTGCTGATGTTCCTCAATGGATCCATGTGGAGGGAGGCGACCGCTGACAGAGAGGAGACACACACACACCTACACACAGTGTGTTTCATCTTTCACTGCTGGCAGCTTCAGCCTGTGGACGACAAGAGAACAAACCCACAACTGAGAATGTCATCATCCTGAGCACATGTGGAGTCCTCTGTGGTCTGCATTGTTCCAGAGGCAGAGAGGAGTGTGTGTGTGTGTGTGTGTGTGTGTGTGTGTGTGTGTGTGTGTGTGTGTGTGTGTGTGTGTGTGATGGGGAGGCAGACAACCACCTGTTACTATGGCTACACAGGCTTTAGCTTCTCCCAAAACCACCGAAGACGCGTCAAACACGTTAAAAAGGGAATAAAACCTG